TTCGACTTTTGGTAGGAATATTTTTACCAGAAAAGGGGTTTGTTTTGGAAAACCTACCTTTCTGGTCGATGGCAGACATAGAATGCTCCCAACCACAGGGGAGTTTCTATAGGCCATTGCTCCTCGTGCCTCTCTGAGGGGGCCAGGTTCTGGCTCGTGGTCCCCAGTAGGCAAGAATTCCAAGCACATTGACTGATGCCAGAATGTTATACATATCCATCCAGCCTGGATAGCTCTGGGGAGCCTCTGGGACTCACCCAGAAAATGGCTCACCCGCGCAATACATACATATACGATTTGACATAACTCAAGTTTTTAAAACTTGCATAAACACATTCCAATTTTTTGTACATAAAAAACAAGGCAAATGCTCCAACTTTGTCTAAATGATCACAGCGTGTCTTGTAAAACAAGAGAATGCAAATTAATTTTAAAATTGAATATTGAAAACTTCAGATTTTCAAATCAGAATAAAAAATATGAACTATCACCAATTTCTCATTTGGTGTTATTATTCTCAGAATAGCTCATGATCTTCATTTTCATCAAATTAAAATATAGGTTTTCAATATACTTTACTGTAAAAAAATCGTCAGTATGGCATTTGAAATATGCGTTAAATTTAGACAAAAAAAAATTATAACTCCAAATGTATAAAGTTTTAGAAAAATCCATTCTGAAGGGATTGTAGAACAGCTGAGCACACAATATGTCAAAATAGTGAGAATCGGTCAAAAACTCGAATTTTAGAAGCCCCTCAAAATTTAATCTCTAGTTTCAGAGATAATTGAAGTTGAAGTTATCAACAATGAATAAAGGTAGTTTTAATTTGTTAATTTAATTGTATGTTTTAATAAACATTGTTTGGCATTCGTACTTGAATATGTGAAAGTTGTAGGTCAATACGTATGTGTTGAAATGGAGTCAAGAAAAAATAACCCCCAAAAAACACAAAATATAGTGATAATTATAATAATTATAAGGATTTATGCATATATTTAGGATATACTTTATATAAGTGAAAAAATCCTAATATGGTCCTTAATCATCAAAACAACCTAAAGAGACAAAGAAAATAGAGTTTGAAATCTGAGAAAAAGCAGCCATAAAAATTAAAAGTCCCAAGCTCTGTGAGTTGTAACTGATTTATTTCTTGACCAATTTCATTCTATCTTCACATAGTTAGAGACAGGTATGCATTCTCCAGGATGTAAAGGTTACAACAAAATCAGATAATAAACAAAGGAGAAAATAACTAAAATTTAAAAAAAGAAAATTTCCCCTAAATTTTTTTTTGGAGGATATTGATGAAAGTAACATATATTAACATTGGACAATGTATTTATATGATATACAGTGGTACCTCGCATAATGATCGCCCCAAAAGGCGAACACTTTGGGTAACGATCGGCCCGATTGGCGACAAATCGTCTCGTATGGCGAATGCTCGTTTGAGTAACGTCAACACCACATGGTGGGATCGCGCTGCTTCTTGCACATTCTTGGACGCCTCTGACGATGCAAATATATTAAGTTGTTCTTGTTTAAAGATGCTAATGATGCTGGGATATAAAGGGGTGACTGCTGAGATGTTGCAAAGCATTGACATTTTTGTAGAAAAAAGAAATACAATTTCTGAAATACAACAAATGTCAAAAAGGTTCATTCAGTGTTTGGCAGGTTGGCTGTTCCATTATAACAATATTTCTTTGTTTCAAATGTGTTCCATTTGTTTTGTATTTGTCATTTACGTCTCAATAGTGGAGCAGCCTACCTTACATGCACTGCACAAACCTTAATGACATTTTGCTTTCTTCAAATTTGTTCAATATTTATTTTTCATTTGTTTTATAGCAAAAGGTTCGTTTGGTGGTCGGCAGGTAGGCTGCTCCATGTTTCTTACATAAAAAATGAAAATAATAATAAAAATTAAAAAATTTTGAAAACCAGAAGAAATGTCAAAAAGGTTCGTTCGGTTGTCTACAGGTAGGCTGCTCCATGTTTCTTACATAAAAAAAATAAAATAAAAAACAGTTGAAACACTTTGAAAAATGGATAAATGCCATAAAGGTTCGTTCAATGTTTGTCAGGGAGGCTGCTCCATAATTGAGAGTAAATGAAAAATACAAAACCTATGGAACACATTTGAAACAAACAAAGATTATAATGGAGCAGCCTACCCGTCAAACAATGAACCTTTATGGCATTTGTCAATTTTTCAAATTGTTTAAACTGTTTTTTTTTTTTTTTTTTTATGTAAGAAACATGGAGCAGCCTACCTGCCGACCACCGAACGAACCTTTTGCTATAAGACAAATGAAAAATAAATATTGAATAAATTTGAAGAAAGAGAAATGTCATATAGGTTTATGCAGTGTATGTAAGGTAGGCTGCTCCATTATTTAAACATCGAATATCATATTGATGTTTTTCGGTGGTAGAACGGATTAATTTGATTACCATTAATGTCAATGGGGACATGGGGGGGGGGGGGTCAAATAGCTTCGGCTATCACCTCCTTTTGTCCGGTCGTGTTCGTTGAGTGGTTAAGGTGTCCTGTACGCCAGCAGAGTGCTTCTGGCAGTATGGGTTCAAGTCACTTCTGGGGTGTGAGTTTTCAGTTGCATATAGTCCTGGGGACCATTCAGGCTTGTTTGCATGTATGTATGTATGTATGTATGTATGTATGTATGTATGTATGTATGTATGTATGTATGTATGTTGTACCTGATAGCCAGAACGCACTTCTCGGCGTACTATGCAAGACCCGATTTGCAAAATAAGCCAAGTTTTCTTGAATATATATATTTATCTAAATTTGTTCTTATGAAATGATAAAATTATCCATTTCATGGATGTTAGAGTTAATTTTGTTTAATTTGAATTAAAACTAACGTAGATATAGGACCAAACCTAACCAACCTACCTAACCTAACCTATCATATCTTAACCTAACCTAACCCAAACTAACATAACTAAGTCAATAATTTATGTTCTTATAATAATATAATAATAGTATCTCAAATAAACCAATTGGAAACAGTTTTTTGAAAATAAGGAAAATCACTTGCCCTATTAGGCAAATCGGGTCTTGCATAGTAGGCCGAGAAGTGCATTCTGGCTACTTGGTACGACATATAAATATATACAGTATATATAATGCAAACAAGCAACAAACTTGAATGGTTGCTATATAATATTGCTATATAATATAGCAATGAAATCATTGGCATGATATATTAATAAAAATCACTTTGATCAATCAAAATGATTTTGAGGTAACTTGCGACCTGGTGATTCCCAGACACCTGCCTTAACCGCTCAGCCAAGGTTGTACAAAAGTTAACCAACCCAGAACTCTTCTGAGGCCACACACAACCTACAAATTATGTGGAAAGGTACTAAAGAACTCTGACAAAGAAAGATTCTGGGATGGTTCTGGAAAGTAGGCTGTCACAAGAGGACCACATAAAGGACATTGTGTGAGGAGCATTTGCTATGATCCCCCAACTTCAGAATTACTTTAAAAAAAATGGATGTTGAATAATTAATGAAACTGGTCATGACTCTTGTGGGACCAAAATTGGAATATGCAGCAGTTGTATGATGCCCATATCTCAAGAAGCATATCAATAAACTGGAAAAGGTGCAAAGCCATTCAACACAATTGCTTCCAGAAGTGAAAAACAAGGGCTACTAGGAGATGGTAGAGGCGTTAAATATGCCGAAGCTAGAAGACAAAAAAAAAAGGCGGTATGATCACTACACAAAATATTAACAGATACTGACAAAAATTGATAGAATTCTTGAAACCTGCATATTCAAGGACAAGAGATTGTCACTCTTAGCTAATGATTGAAGCGTTTGGGAGTAAAGATGCTACAAACAATATTAGAAAGTTCTGTTTTGCAAGCAGAGTAGTAGACGGTTGGTACAAATTAAGTAAGAAAGTGGTGGAAGCTGAAGCTGTCAATAGTTGCATAGCATCATATTTCGAAGGGTATTGGGAAGATGAGTCACCACGAGCATAGCTCTCATCCTGTAACTACACTTTGGTAATTACACTTAGGTAATTACAGCCCCACCCTCCATGTCCTCAATCTTGTGACTTAGTGACTTTTTCACCATATATATATCTCTATGATATTTTCATTCCTTACTCTCTTAACATAACACATGCTTCTCAGTGTTCATTTTCACTGTTCAAAATGTTTGTTTTTCTCTTTCTTACCATACCATTATTTCACATCTGTACTTAAAGTTTTTTTTTTTTTTTTTTTTTGCACTAGCACTCTGTTGTGTAGCCTCCTGGCTTGATTTATTCTTATTTTAATTTTCCTTACAAGGATTTTCAATGCATCAGCCACTTTCCCTCCCTGATTTACCTTAGATTAAACTTTCATTATGCATTTTTTTCAATCTTGCACCCAGATGTTTAAACTGATTGACCACTTACAGCACTTCACCATTCATATTTATTTCACACACAAATTCCCTCTCTATACCAACATTACTTTTATCCATATTAATTTTTAACAGGCATATATCACGTACACAATTACAATTTTCAACTAGGCTATCGCAATTCTCTCTACTTCTGTGCTAAAAGATCTGAATCATTTTCATACATCAAGTTTGACATTTTTTGTTTACTCATATTAGACTTAGGCACTATGTTTAAAATTTCTTATAATTTTCTTACATTCACCTCCTTCATGAACCCATTCATCTACAGTATATGTTAACAACCAAGGTGACATTGTGCAGCCCTTGTATACAGACATTAATATTTAACCAATCACTCAGTACACCATTAATTCTTGTTCAGGAACTACTAGTACTTATGCAAAAGCATTTTTATAGCATTTAACAGAAAATACCAACACATAAGAAATATATTATTTGCTTAACTTAGCTGTTGTCATTGTAATGGTGATGGTAAGGTAAGCTGGTATCATATTACTGTGGGGGTTCTCACCTGTGTCTTCTCTTGGTTTCAGACCCCAGGAGAATTTGTGGCCAGAGCTAGGAGAGGGAGTCTCTGAGGAACATAAGGCTCGTTCTCAGGTTGACTCTAACACATATAAGGTGAGAAACCCCCACAGTAATGATAAAAACCAGAGCAATTATCAACCTAATGATGTTCAAAGTCTTCAAGAGCTGACTGGACACAAAAGGGTCTTTATAAATGATAACATATTGGTAAGCCATAGTACAGAATTGAGTGAGCTGGAAGTTGCACATAAGCATTCTGATTCACACCTACCTGTAGAAGAATATCCATGTAGCGATGAAGTGGATCTGACAAATAGTATCAGTGCTAATGCTAACCAGAATGTTAAAGGTGTTATAAAACATGATAAGATTGCTGATCATGATGCTAACTCTGGTGGAAGTAACAAATGCCAATACGGTACTGAAGACATGTTTGGTTCCAATTCACTGGTATGTAGACAAGGCTATAATATTGACAGTCTTGATTGTCAGAGACTTCAAGGGAAAAAGTGTCTTAGTGAGGCACAAGATCAAATTCAGTTCAATACTATTTTACTAGGTCAGGTTCACAAGGAAGACGATGAAGATCCAGAAGAAATCAAGGTCAGGAAAGCCAATGATGGTCAAATATATTATGTAGATGACAATAATGATCAAGAAGAAAATAAGGAAAGTGAGGCTAATGAAGGTCAGTTAGATAATGAAGGAGGAGGCAACAATCGACAAGAAATCCAAGTCAGTAAGGTAAGGGAACATCATATGCATTATGGAAAAGAGGATAACAATTCACAAGACATGCAAGCTTTTAGAGCCTATGAAGTTCAGTTGCATTATGGAGAAGCAGAGAAAGATAAAAAAGTAACAAGACCCATAGGAATCAATACAAATCAGACTCAGTGTAAAGAGGATAATAATCAAGAAATGGAAACCAGTGACAATCAAATGCATTATTTTGAAGAGGATAATGATCAAGAAATCAAATCACGTGATGCCTGTGAAGATCAAACACAATTTGAAGAAGAGGATAATGCTCAAGAAAAAATCAAAACCACTGAAGCTGGTATGCATTACCTAGATGAGGGCAACGATCGACAAGTCAAACCCAGTGAATATCAGAAGTTTTATGGCAAAAAAGAAATCAGTTATGGTGAAACCAATGAAGGTTGGAACTATTATGGCGAAAAGGATAATGATAAAAGAGAAATAAAACCTTTTGGTAAAAAGGAAATTAGTGTACATTATGGGGGAGTAGATAATGATTATAAACTTAAATCCAGTGAAGCCCATGAGGGTCAGATGTATTATGGGGATGAAAATATAAATAAAATGGAAGTTACTGCAAGTGAAGTCAATAATGGTCAGAAGAACTATGAAAAAGATAATACCGAACAAGAAGAAATGACAGCTAGTGAAGCCAATGAATGTGATGTACATTGTATAGACAAAGATAACACTCAAGAAATTATTGTTAGTGAACCATCTGAAGGTGAGGCACATTATAGTGATAAGGATAATGATTTAGAAATCAGTGTTGGTCAGATGCTTTATGGAGAAGAGTGTAATGATCAAGAAGAATTTAAAGACAGTGGAGCCAATATACGTGCGAATCATTATGATGAAGAGTATAATAAAGAAGTAATAAAAGCCAATGAAGTTCAGATGTATAATGTTGATGAGGAAAATGGTCAAGAAATAAAATTAAATAAAGAGCAGACATTTTACAGAGAAGAAATAAATTCAGATGAAACTAATGAAAGTTGGATGTATTGTGTAGAAGAAGATGATAAGAGAGATAGCAAAGTCTTTGGTAAAATTGAAGGTCAATTTGAGGAGAATAATTCTGAGGAAATCAAGATCGATGAAGTCAATGAAGGTCATGTGTTTTATGATGAAGAGTCCAATACTCAAGAAGAAATAAAAAACACTGAAACAAATGAAAGTAGAATGCATTATGAGGAAGTGAATAATGATCAAGAAATTAAAGTTATTAGAAGTCAGATGTACTGTGTAAAGGATGGTAATGATCCTGAAGAAATGAATGAAGCCAAAGAAGGTCAGATGCATTATGGAGAAGAGCATAATTATCAAGAAGAAATAAAAACAAATGACGATCTGGTGCATCATGAAGAAGAGCATAATGATCAAGAAGAAAATGCAAATGAAGGTCAGATGCATTATATAGATTATAAAGATCATGAGGAAATTATAGCTAGTGAAGGTAGCATGTGTCAGTTGCAATACAAAGGTGATGATACTAATAAAGAAATCACAGCCAGTTTATCCAGTAAAGGTCAGATGTATTTTGGAGATGAACATAGTGAAGATAGCTATCAAGCTCAATTCAAAACCAGTTATGGTCAAATGAATTATCAGGTAAAGGATAGTGTTCAAGAAGAAAGCATTACCATGGAGGGTCCAGCACACCCTGAAGGTGATGATAATGATCAGGAAGAGAGTGTTGTCATGGAAGGTCCAGCACACTCTGAAGGTGATGATAATGATAAGGAAGAAAGCACTACCATGGAGGGTCCAGCACACTCTGAAGGTGAGGATAATGATCAGGAAGAAAGCACTACCATGGAAGGTCCAGCACACTATGAAGGTGAGGATAATGATCAGGAAGAAAGCACTACCATGGAGGGTCCAGCACACTCTGAAGGTGAGGATAATGATCAGGAAGAAAGCACTACCATGGAGGGTCCAGCACACTCTGAAGGTGAGGATAATGATCAGGAAGAAAGTACTGTCATGGAAGGTCCAGCACACTCTGAACCTGAGGATAATGATAAGGAAGAAAGCACTACCATGGAGGGTCCAGCACACTCTGAAGGTGAGGATAATGATCAGGAAGAAAGCACTACCATGGAAGGTCCAGCACACTCTGAAGGTGAGGATAATGATCAGGAAGAAAGCACTACCATGGAGGGTCCAGCACACTCTGAAGGTGAGGATAATGATCAGGAAGAAAGCACTACCATGGAGGGTCCAGCACACTCTGAAGGTGAGGATAATGATCAGGAAGAAAGTGCTGTCATGGAAGGTCTGGCACACTCTGAAGGTGAGGATAATGATGAAGAAATTGAAGCCAATGAAGGTCAGATACTTTATGGAGAAGATGATAACACACTAGAAATCAAAGCCAGTGAAAGTCAGGTGCATTTTTTGGATAATAACAGTAAGAAAAAATTCAAGACCAACAAAACCAATAAAAGTCAGATACGTTTTGAAGAAGGGAATAAAGGTCAAGAAGAAATCAAAGCCATTACAGAAAATAAAGATCAGGTACATTATGGAGAAGATAATTTCAATCTAGAAGAAATAAAAGTAAATGAAGATCAGGTACAATATAGAGAAGAATTCAGTGATGAAGAAATGGAAGCCACCAAAGGTCAGATGCAATATGAAAAAGATGATAATGATAAAGAAGAAATGGATATCAATGAAGCTAATGAAGGTCAGATGTATTATGAAGATGATGATGAGCAAAACAAAATTATTGCCAATGTAGGTCAGTTACATTTTGAAGAAATGGATAATGAAATAAAAACCATTGATGGTCAGATGCAATATGGAAGTGATGATAGTGATCAGTTAGAAGTCAAAACAATTAGAGAACATAAAGGTCAGATGCATTATGGAGAAGAGCATAATGTTCAAGAAGAAATAAAAGCCAATGAAGGTCAGATGCATTATGAAGGTGAGGATATAAATCAAGATGTAATTAAAGTGAATGAAAGTCAAGTGCATTATAGAGAAAAGAATAATTACTTAAAAGAAATTACTCCCACTGAAGAAAATGAAGGTCAAATACATCATGGAGATGAGTTTAACATTGAAGAAGTAAACAATGTTACTAAAACCAATGAAGATGAGACCCATTATGTGGAAGATAACGATAAAGAAGACTGTCTCAGTGAAGGTAACGTTATTCAGACGCATTATGAAAAAGATGTTTATAATCAAGAAAAATTCAAAGCCAGTGAATGTGAAATGAATTATGGAGAAGAGGTGAGCGATGAAGATATTAAAGGCAGCGAAGGTCAATTGCATTATGAAGAAAACAATGGAAGTGGAGAAGATGACATAGTGCATATTGATAGTAGTGAGAAAGATGAAGGTGAGATATATTATAAAGAAGACACTGGAAGTGAGCACATTGACTTAGAACAAAGCAATACTTGTGAAACAGATAAATATTGGAAGCATTGCAAGGAACACACACAAATTAATGAAGAAGAGAAAGACTATTATACTGAAGCAAAACCTAGAGACAAAAGTAATATCAGGGAAGTAAAGGAGGATACTCAACGTGAAGTAACCAGTAGAAGAAAGATCAGTGATCAGGATGAATTTGTTATTGCGGAAGCAAGTCAACTACATACTCAGGAAGACAGTAGAAGTAAGGTAAGTTATCAAGATCAGCTTTACACTACTGAAGCAGATGATGAGAGTCACAAAGAAGATAGTGATGGTGAGGATAATGATCTTCAGATTTCTCCTTTCAAAGAAGAAAGTGTTGTACTTGATGGGGGAGATGGTAGAAAAGAGGCCATTGATCATGACCCAATTCTTTGTACTGAAGCAGATGAACATAAAGTGTATTGTGAAGACAATGGCAGTCAGGTATGTGATCAGAAAGGCACTCTAAGAGACAACTCTGAAGAAGGGAAAGATGACAACAATAAAGCAAAAACTCTGAAAGGTAATATCACTGAAGCCAAAAAGATTGTTTGTGAGATCAAGAACCATGGACAAAATTGTTCTCCTGTAGTTGAGGACAAATTTGACAGTGAAGAAAAATATCACAAACAAATCTGTGAAACTGTAGCAAAAGAAAATTTTGTAAATGAAGGCCAAGAAAAAGATACAGAAGCAGAGGATAATTTGTATTGTAATACAGAAGAAGACAAAAAAATTGCTACCACTGTGACAGAAGAAGACTTTGATGATGAAGCAAGAGACAAAAAGCAAACTCATAATTTTCCCGAGAACAGCTATTTTTGCCATCATATCCAAATTAATTTTGATAAGCAAGAACCTCAGACATTTGTTGATTCAGCTAGGCATTTGCATCACTGTGAATGTAGGGAAGAACAAGATAGTGTTAATGCAGGTATTCATGAACACACACACAATGCTGCACAAGAACATTACCATAGTCAGACACAGGGACAATATAAAGCATCTGAAGAACAGCGTGGATGTATCACTCAAGAACAACAACATGAAGATACACAGGGACAGTCTCATAAACATTTCAAAGAACCTTGCCAGGTGGATATATCTTCACATAAATGTCAGATGGAAACAAGTGTAATAGTTGATATGGTAGGTGTAAAGTTAAGAAGCTTGAGTGTTAATGATGATGATGGTGTGCAGGGTGTTAATCCAAAAGTGTCCACATATTTGCCTGCTGAACAAGTTAAGTGTCATCCAGGTATGAGTGACGGTAATTTTCAGTATGCTGGGGCACATACAGTGTGTGTTGCAAACACTAGAAACTTCAAAGATCTTGGGTGTGAGGTAAATATTGACAATTGTGAAAATAAAATTCATAGTGAATTTTCATATGAAGATTCTGTTGCAAGCACAAGTCAAACACCTGGACAAAGTCAAATTGTTAGAGACTTGAGCCAAAGACCTGCAGGTTGGATAACATTTTTTGAAAATGATCACTCCAGTCTGTATTTTAAAAAGTCACCAATGCCAATAAATGTAGGGAACAATTCAAATAGTATAGTCAGTGGATGTGATGTCACTGACTTTGAAGGGTTTGATGATAGATATAATGACAAAATAAATACTTTGAAGAAAATTTTATTAAATGTTAAGGGGAAAAGAAAGGGTCCTGATTTTATACAAAAAGTCACAAAAATGTTTAAGGGAAGAAAAACTAAGGGAAAGAATAAAATAAAAAGGATAATTAAAAAAGTTGCAAGAAAGAAGATAGGTGGTGTAATGAGGAGGAAAACAAAGGCAACTAGAGAAAAAGTAGGTGTTGTAGGAAAATGTGATGTAGAGGAACTGGAAAATACAGTGGGGAAAACTGAAAGTCAGAAAGATAGAAAACCTGCTGGTAGAGGAGCATTTAAGAATACTAAGAAGATAGGTAAGAAAATTAAGAGAGCAAATACAAGAGGTGCAGTGGGGAAAAAACAGGAAAAGGCTAAATTTGTGAATTCATTTATTTGTGAATCATTCAGAGAAGTGAAAACTGAAATAAATTTACCAGAGAAAACAAAATCTAAAGTTGGGTTCACTGAAATTGAAAAAAGAAAAGAAAAAAATAATTCTAACTCTGAGTCATTATTTACAAAAGAGTCTGATGATTATTATATCCTTGAAAACAGAAGCACAGTTTCAGAGGTGGATTTTAGAGAGGACCAAAACACTTTTAGAGACACAAGAAGCCACATTAGGAAGAGAGTAAACAGTACACAACTGGAAACCTCAGATAATATAACTAATATAAGAAAGCGTAAACTATCGCCTGATATTGACGAGCCTTTCCATGGAGACTTGGAAAGTGATAGTAGTAAAAAAACAAATGGATGCAGCATTAAGAGTGATGAAATAATAGATGTTCTCGAGACAGAACCACGAGCGTTGAACCTGTCCAAGAATCAATTAAGAACAATGAGACCAAGTGAAGTAATGGTTGCTCACGAGACAGAGCCATTAAGGATAAACCCGTCTAAGAAACAGTTAAGAACAAGGAAGCCTAGGGAAGTAATGGTAACTCATGAGATGGAACAATTAGGGAAGAACTTGTCAAAGAAAAAGTTAAGAAGAACGAAGCCTAGTGAAGTAATGGTTGCTCATGAGACGGAACCATTAGGGATAAACCTATCCAAGAAAAAGTTAAGAACAAGGAAGCATAGTGAAGTAATGGTTGCTGATGAGACGGAACCATTAGGGATAAACCTATCCAAGAAAAAGTTAAGAAGAATGAAGCCTAGTGAAGTAATGGTTGCTCATGAGATGGAACCATTAGGGATAAACCTATCCAAGAAAAAGTTAAGAACAAGGAAGCATAGTGAAGTAATGGTTGCTCATGAGACGGAACCATTAGGGATAAACCTATCCAAGAAGCAGTTAAGAAGAACGAAGCCTAGTGAAGTAATGGTTTCTCATGAGATGGAACCATTGGAGATGAACCCATCTAAGAAGAAGTTAAGAAGAAAAAGGAAGCCTAGTGAAGTAATGGTTGCTGGTGAGACGGAACCATTAGGGATAAACCTATCCAAGAAGCAGTTAAGAACGAGGAAGCCTAGTGAAGTAATGGTTGCTCGTGAGATGGAACCATTAGGGATAAACCTATCCAAGAAGCAGTTAAGAACTAGGAAGCCTAGTGAAGTAGTGGTTGCTCGTGAGACGGGACCATTAGGGATAAACCTATCCAAGAAGCAGTTAAGAACGAGGAAGCCTAGTGAAGTAATGGTTGCTCGTGAGACGGAACCATTAGGGATAAACCTATCCAAGAAGCAATTAAGAGCAAAGAATTCTGTAGTGCAAGCAAAGAAGAGAAATACCAGGGTAAAGGCACTGAGCACAAGACAAATATCACATATTGATGAAACTTGTGTAGTCAACAAAGTAGAAGGCAAGCAAGACTGTGAAGATACCAGTATATCTTGTGGGTCTCAACCAGATGATGATGTGGATGATGAGCTTCCTGACCTGACATCATCACCATTTTTACAAGGTGAGTTTGAGTACTAAGCAGTATTTGTTTTAGATGATTATTAATAAGATTTGTTTTAAAATAAAAATTTGGCATAAATATAAGACCATAAATAGTCACATTCACAATTCTACTTTATTGATTGCTTGTCTGTTTTTATTCAGTCGTGCAGCAGCTGTTTATCTCACTACTTGAATAATATACTGTACTGCATAATTCTGTAATTCAGGTTTCCACTTTGATGCTGCTGCTTTTCATGTTGGATAAAAGTTGCCTTTTGTTGCATACAGAATATGGCTTTTAGGATTTTAATTTTTGTTTTCTGGAGGGGCCAAACAGTGGCTCCCTATTGCTGAACACACTGAGATAGTGTCATATGTATTAGTCACATCAGTTCTAGTGGTCCTTAATAACCTACAAGACACCAAAACCTGGCCCCCCTCACAGAGTTTCAATGAACGGGTAATTCATGATCACCAGAGAAACAAACCCCTTAGAAAGAAAGTGAAGAAAAACAAACAACGTGTGTGATCACAGAATGTAAACAAACATTGCAGCAAACATTTTGGCAAATGCTCCACTCAATAGTTAGTTATTAACCCTTCTCTTCCCCCCCCCATCCTTTCTCATCCCACCCTCTGTAGTAAAGGTGGGCACTGGCAGGTGGCATTACCACAGGAGCTGCCAGCTCCCCATGTCAACAATCATCAGTCCTTCACCTAATGTCAGACAAGTGTAATTACCTAAGTGTAATTACCTAAGTGTAGTTACAGGATGAGAGCTACGCTCGTGGTGTCCCGTCTTCCCAGCACTCTTTGTCATATAACGCTTTGAAACTACTGACGGTCTTGGCCTCCACCACCTTCTCACTTAACTTGTTCCAACCGTCTACCACTCTATTTGTGAAGGTGAATTTTCTTATATTTCTTCGGCATCTGTGTTTAGCTAGTGCAATTTGTTGTTTATGAATTTGTAGCATAGGCCCGGTTCTGTTTTACATTTGTCCACTATCCCTTTTTCAAAATTTCTTTCTGCCTCTCTCCTTGCTGCTGTGTAGTTGTTTCTCGCATCTTTGTATCGCTGGTATGTTTGGGGGTTTGGCCTCTTCCTATAATGATTCCATTTTTGTGTCTTTTGGTCTCTGGAACTTGCAATTTCTGTTGAACCAATCCTGTTTCCTAGTTCTGCATCTCTGCTTTGGTACAAATTTTGTTGTGCCTTTATCATATATTTCACAAAACTTTACATACATCTCATTTACTTTGTCCTAACAGCAAGTCTTTCCAGTCAAATTCCTTAAGGGGGCGTCTGGTTATTATAATGAAAGTTGTTCAATGTCAACCAATATTATTTTTCTAGTTGTATATGAAAAGTGCTTAAATTGTCCCAAGTTTCAGTACTGCAGCGTAAATAGAAAGGGAGTTTTTTTTTTTTTTTTTTGAAAGTTTTTTACACATTTTCAAGTCCACACTTCAGAACACACGTTTCAGATAAAATTATTCTGTGACACTTTTCTGACACATTAGCATATAATAAAGGATTTGGGGATTTAGAATTTCCAAAACATCTTTAGTTTTCCTAATACAAATGTTCAAAGTTCCCCAAATTTTTTTTGCAAATATGGCATGTTTATTGCTATTATAAAATCAATAAATGAACTTAGAGAAAAATGAAAGCCCCCCAATGTAGAGACATGCCCCACAATGTAGAGACATGCCCCACAATGTAGAGACATGCCCCACAATGTAGAGACATGCCCTCCACATACACTGTGTAAGTTTCATGTAAATTGAATAAAAAAGGAATCAGTTTTGTAAACGTTTGTGTCAATTGAAAAAAAACAGAAATGAATAAAGTCTAAGGTTCTAAAATCTGTGGCTGGGGTTGACATCAACCAATTTTCTCCAAAATTGGCATCCTTACAGATAGGGTTACGTACAGTCAGGTGTGTAAGTTTGATGCAAATCGCCCAAAAAAAAATGAACAAAAAAATATTTAAAAAAAAAAAAAAAAAAAAAAATCCTTTTTTTTTTTTTTTTTCCTTAAATTTTTTTCCAATTAAACTAATTATAATATTTGTTTAATATATGCTATTGTGATAGCAAAGAGTTGTAGTTATGATTTCAGTTGACACTTTTGATTGATAATCGATTTTGACCATTTTTGCATAATTTTCACAACTACTTCAATATTTTTTTTCTCCCTTCCTATTTATGCTACAATGCTGAAACTTGGACCAGATGAAACACTTTTCATATAGAACTTGTCAAAAAAGTTTGATTGAAATCGAATGAGTTTTCATTTTTGCATTTTTGGACCCAGATGCCAACCAGACGCCCCCTTAAAGAAATGTCTGAGTTCCCCATAATGACCTCTCCTGAAATCAGGTTTTTCAACTTCTTCAACCTCATTTTCTTCCAGATTATAACGCAATTATATACTTTATTCCCAAAAACACATGGTCACTTTTACCCAATGGAAGAAGTACTGAATGTCAAATATATCTCCCTCTTTCCTGGTAAATATCATATCCAGCATGGAGGGAACATCCCCTTCCCTCATCCTCGTAGCTTGTTTAACCACCATGCTGCGCCGAGTTTATTGTGAAATTTCCCCTGTGAAAGTATTGGAAAAACTAATCAAAACTAAATGGGTGGAACACCTGGAGAGAAATGATATTATATCAGACAGACAGTATGGTTTTCGATCTGGAAGGTCCTGTGTATCGAATTTACTCAGTTTCTATGATTGAGCCACAGAGATTTTACAGGAAAGAGATGGTTGGGTTGACTGCATCTATTTGGACCTAAAAAAAGGCTTTCGACAGAGTTCCACATAAGAGGTTGTTCTGGAAACTGGAAAATATTGGAGGGGTGACAGGTAAGCTTCTAACAATTTCCTGACTGATAGAAAAATGAGGGCAGTGATCAGAGGCAAGGTATCGGAATGGAGAAATGTCACAAGTGGAGTACCACAGGGGACGTTCCCTCCATGCTAGATTTGATATTTACCAGGAAGGAGGAAGAAATATTTGACATTCAGTACCTTCCTCCCTTGGGTAAAAGTGACCATGTCTTTTTGGGAATAAAGTATGCAATGCGTTATAATCTGGAAGAAAATATGACGGTCGATGCAAATGAAAAACCTGACTTCAGGAGAGGACATTATGGCAACCTTAGAAAATTTTTTAGTGAGTATAATTGGACAGACTTGTTGCTAGGCAAGGAAATGAATGAGATGTATGTCAGGTTTTGTGAAATATATGATAAAGGCACAAAAAAATTTATACCAAACAGAGAAGCAGAACTAGGAAACAGGATTGGTTCAACAGAAAGTGCGAGAGGGCCAGAGACCAAAAGACACAAAAATGGAATCAATACAGGAAGGGGCCGAACCCCCAAACATACCAGCGATACAAAGATGCGAGAAACAACTACACGGCAGTGAGGAGAGAGGCAGAAAGAAATTTTGAAAAAGGGATTGCAGACAAATGTAAAACAGAACCAGGTCTATTCTATAAATTCATAAACAACAAATTGCAGGCAAAGGATAATATTCAGAGGTTGAAAATGGGAAATAGATTCACAGAAAATGAAAAGGAAATGTGTGAAACATTAAACGAAAAGTTCCAAAGTGTGTTTGTACAAAATGAAATCTTTAGGGAACCAGATACAATAAGAATTCCAGAGAACAACATAGAGCACATAGAGGTGTCTAGAGACGAAGTAGAAAAAATGCTCGAAGAGCTAAATAAGAACAAAGCAGTTGGTCCAGATGGAGTTTCACCATGGGTTCTGAGAGAATGTGTACCTGAGCTCAGCATTCCTCTTCAACGGATTTTTCAGGCATCCCTGTATACAGGAGTTGTAGCTGATGTGTGGAAAAAGGCTAACATAGTTCCAATCTACAAAAGTGGAAGCAGGGAAGACCCCCTTAATTATAGACCAGTATCATTGACAAGTGTAATAGTCAAAATATTGGAAAAAATAATTAAAACTAAATGGGTAGAACACCTGGAGAGAAATGATATAATATCAGACAGACCGTATGGTTTTCGATCTGGAAGATCCTGTGTATCAAATTTACTCAGTTTCTATGATCGAGCAACAGAGATATTACAGGAAAGAGATGGTTGGGTTGACTGCATCTATCTGGACCTAAAAAAGGCTTTTGACAGAGTTCCACATAAGAGGTTGTTCTGGAAACTGGAAAATATTGGAGGAGTGACAGGTACGCTTCTAACATGGATGAAAAATTTTCTGACTGATAGAAAAATGAGGGCTGTGATCAGAGGCAATGTATCGGACTGGAGAAATGTCACAAGTGGAGTACCACAGGGTTCAGTTCTTGCACCAGTGATGTTTATTGTCTACATAAATGATCTACCAGTTGGTATACAGAATTATATGAACATGTTTGCTGATGATACTAAGATAATAGGAAGGATAAGAAACTTAGATGATTGTCATGCCCTTCAAAAAGACCTGGACAAAATAAGTACATGGAGCGCCACTTGGCAAATGGAATTAAAAGTTAATAAATGCCATGTTATGGAATGTGGAATAGGAGAACATAGACCCCACACAACATATATATTATGTGAGAAATCTTTAAAAAATTCTGATAAAGAAAGAGATCTAGGGGTGGTTCTAGATAAAAAACTATCACCTGAGGACCACATAAAGAATATTGTGCGAGGAGCCTATGCCACGCTTTCAAACTTCAGAATTGCTTTTAAATACATGGATGGCGATATACTAAAGAAATTGTTCACGACTTTTGTTAGGCCAAAGCTAGAATATGCAGCGGTTGTGTGGTGCCCATATCTTAAGAAGCACATCAACAAACTGGAAAAGGTGCAAAGACATGCTACTAAGTGGCTCCCAGAACTGAAGGGCAAGAGCTACGAGGAGAGGTTAGAGGCATTAAATATGCCAAAACTAGAAGACAGAAGAAAAAGAGGTGATATGATCACCACATACAAAATAGTAACAGGAATTGATAAAATTGATAGGGAAGATTTCCTGAGACCTGGAACTTTAAGAACAAGAGGTCATAGATTTAAACTAGCTAAACACAGATGCCGAAGAAATATAAGAAAATTCACTTTCGCAAACAGAGTGGTAGACGGTTGGAACAAGTTAGGTGAGAAGGTGGTGGAGGCCAAGACCGTCAGTAGTTTCAAAGCGTTATATGACAAAGAGTGCTGGGAAGACGGGACACCACGAGCGTAGCTCTCATCCTGTAACTACACTTAGGTAATTACACTTGGGTAATTACACAGTCTGAGCTGCACCTGTGATGGGGTGACGCGAGTGATGGCTGTAACTTCTCGTATCTTCGTTAATTTTACAGCTGGTGACGTCCCGTCACTGTAGGATTCTGCAACAGCAGTGGGGGATGGCGTAGGGTTAAATTAGGCTAGCTGAACCTGCTGGAGACAGGAAAAGACCTCTACTCTGGCCGGGAGCAGAGGCAGTCCACGTCTTGTAGGTACAGCAACGCAGGACAGAATACCACCCTTGGGCGGGAGTCTCATCCCGCCAAATTCACACCGAAACTACGACGTTGGTACAACGTTTGAACACGTTTTAACGCCTCCTAATCAACTATAACAACCAATATAGCAAGTTGTAACAACGTTCTAATACCTCATAAACACGTTAAGCCAAGATGTAACAACTTTATTACAAGTTGTGACAAGCGGAAAATAGAGACAGTTACGGTTTGTGTTTCCAGGGATGCCTGCGGCATTTTGGCACAAGAAATCCAGGCAGCGGCTCCCTTGGTGCCAGGCGCACTAACCAATCAATGCCTGACAGGCCTAAGGCGCACTAATGCCGCTACTAATCATGGCGGAGCCAGCTGGTGACGTCATGTCACCGGGAGGGAACCGTTAACCACTTGAGGGAGTACCCTTACTCTCCTCTCACGGTTGCTATGGGGCCAACCTTACAGAATTCAGAGAAAACCTGTAACTTTTCACTGAGAATACCTACATTAACGAGGGCTAGTTCTTTGGAATGCTGAAGGCATCCACATTCGAATGAGATGTAATTTTGACCTTCTATCTCCAATAACAAGGAAGATAGGGTTTTGTGCACACCCTGTGCACATCTCTGAAATTTTCTAAGGCCAAAATACCTCTTTCTTCTACTATCTAATAAATGTAAGCTAGCTGAGAAGTGGGCCAAAATCCAACTTCTCACAACCAATACCACACGATGTAGTAACACTAGTCTAGTACACTAATGGCCTGTCTCCCGCCTCGCGCCTCACTTCGATTTATGAATTTTATCTAAAAGGGTAAGGAGGATTATTGCTAATTCCATATTGTTGTGTAATGTATAATTTATTTAGAAGATTGATTTTATTACCAGTTCTGGGACTGATGATTTTTATATTAAATTAGCCAGAAAAGTTTTGAGAACGAGATGTTGACAACGCAGGGGTATATCAACCTCATTTTCTGGCACAAATTGTCATTCTCGTTTTCTCTGTTGTGAAAACAGTAACAAAAAATATGTATTTAAACTTTAATAAAAAACAGCAGAATTTTATTCTCTGCTTGTTGTATTAGAAGTTATGGTCAGGGAGCTGTATAAGGGAGCCGGTCGGCCGAGCGGACAGCACGCTAGACTTGTGATCATGTGGTCCCGGGTTCGATCCCGGGCGCCGGCGAGAAACAATGGGCAGAGTTTCTTTCACCCTATGCCCCTGTTACCTAGCAGTAAAATAGGTACCTGAGTGTTAGTCAGCTGTCACGGGCTGCTTCCTGAGGGTGGAGGCCTGGTCGAGGACCGGGCCGCAGGGACACTAAAGCCCCAAAATCATCTCATGATAACCTCAAGAAAGAAGATGATTAATGTGGAAATTTCCCACAGCTGATACTGTAATATTTTTGCATTGAGGAAATGCAAGTGTGAAAGAGTTAATATTTGTTTTGGACTAAAAGAGCACTGTATTTAAATAGCATGTGAACACTGTATTTAAATAGCATGTGAATACTGTTCCTATCCCTGGATGTCAGTATACAAGGAGGAGGTAACTTTGTATTCATGTTCCTCTCATATTACTATTTCATGCCACCTACCCTTTAATTCAGTCCTTTACATTGTTTGTGTTTTTTAGTTTAGCTATATGGCATTATGTATACTTAATGTCATTACAGGAAAGACAGAAGTTGAATTTAAGCCAGGCGACCTTGTGTGGTCCATGGAGAGAGGTGTATGGTGGCCATCGTATGTTGAACGCATTTACCGTGGCAAGAAGGCATCTGTATATTTTATTGGATATAAGCAGGAGACTGGTATTACAGTGAGCTTCAGTAAGATCAAAACTTTTCAATATGGTAATGTGCCATCATTTGTGGTGAGTATACGCACAACTTACTATTTGTTTTAGTCTTATCCGGGTTGTATACTTTGACCATATATATGTATTAACCTGATTGTGTTTTCTGGTGTTAAACTCCAGCTCCTTGGCTCCATTTTTTTTATCTAATAAGCAACTGGTGCGATGTCTCTTCTCATTTTACTTTAACTTATATGGGTGTTTATTTTCCAATTAACCCCCTTTATATGGTTACTTCCTTTACGAAAAAAATGTCTGCATTTAGTTTGCCTATACTGTACACTGTACAGCACTGTACTCAAGTATTGTCTGGCTTAAACTTGTATCCATTGTGCTTCTCCAGCCTCGAGGCAAAATCTTAAACTTAATCAAGTTTTCTTATGTGGTTGGTAAGGTGTGACTTAAACATTTTTGTGCATGCTTCAACACTGAATGATTCCATGAGATACATGTACACTGTTTTTCTGTTTGGATGCTTTATTTATTTATTTTTCTGGGGGGAGCCCCTATGGCTTCCTGGAGCTATCCAGGCTGATAGGGATAGTCCTAACTTTTGACATCAGATGATGTGGGTGGAGTTCTAGGCCTACCGGGGACCTCAACCAGAACCTGGCCCCCTCAGAGAGGCACAAGGAGCAATGGCCTGTAGAAATTGCACATGTGATTGTGGAGCATTCTATATCTACCATTGACCAGGACAGGCATGCAGAAAGGTAAGCACCCCAAAACCAAACCCCTATTCTGCTGCAAACAATGAAAATAGACAAACGAGTGGCCAGAACTTCCCTATAGAAATCGAGCAAACAAGCATGACATCACACAAGGTGCGCCGCACGTCTGTGGAGCTCCCCCCTCCCCGGGAGGGGGGAAGAGGAAGCCCCAGATCCCCGCGCCGGCATTCCACACTGCAGTTTTTCGGCTGATGGAATATGGTTTGGTCGTTGTGGTTCCAGCTCCGGACTCTTGTTGTGTTGTTCTCTGTTCAGTACTGTTCTTATGGTAGTGTGTGAGCTGGGAGTAATATTCACAGGTACTCGGGCTGCATGTGCTTAGGGTCACCTTCCCTGAGTGCCCTGTAAGTACTGCCCTAGGGGCTTGGGATTCCCCTCCACAAGTCTCCTTGGGTATTCCTCTGTTGGTCTTTTGCTGCTTGGTGATTGACTGCCCCAAGTGTTTTGGAGAATTTCCTCCCTAGTTTGCCTTGGGGTAAGTGGTAGATATTGCACTGGTAGGGACGCAGGGCACTGTGTAGCTAGTTTTCACCTATAACAGCAGCCGGCTCTGTTCCCTCTGGGTTCACTGTCCTCTTGTGAGGCTTTTCTTTTCAATTTGTTTTTGCCTAGAGGGAGGGTCTGCCTTGGTGTTCTTTACCCCTTTATACTTGTGTTGTTTATGTTTGGCCTCCTCTCACAATGTTCTTTATGTGTTCCTCTGGTGACAGTTTACTATATAGAACCACCCCAAGATCTCTCTCTTTGTTGGAGTTCTTTAACTCTCAAACCGCTAGGGGTCCAAATGGCTTTAACACCCACAGGCACAACAAAAAAAAAATCCAAAAAATTCTTTCATCTTATAAGTGTTCAGTTTTGCTCCCTGATCACAGAAAAAATAACAAAAAAATCGTAGGTGGCATAATTTAGCCGCAATAGGGTAGGGAAGTGTGGCAAAAAAGGGGCGTTGACAGAGCCTTCGCCAGACGAGGTCTGCTCCGCTCGAGCTGTCAGGCGGCAGTTGCCACAAATATATTATTACCTAATTATTTCAATGTCTCTGATTTGTTCCTAGTTTTTTTTGCAGTAATATTATTCAATACAGTGAATTGTGATATATTTATATAATAAAATGTATGAACCATTGCTGTTCTCAAAATTATGGTGTGCATATTAGTGATTCAATTATGTTCATAAAAAATAAACAAATAGTTTTGCTGTTATTACACTATATACACAGGTTATATATAAGTAATCAGCACGTTTTGCTTACCATAACGAACCACTAAGTTGGTATTGTGAGTCAAAATGCAACGAGGAGTGACCGCCACCACACAGCCTATAAATTATGTGAGAAATCTTTAAAGAATTCTGACAAAGAAAGGGATCTAGGGTGGTTCTAGATAGAAAACCGTCACCTGAGGACCACCTGAGAACATTGTGCAAGGAGCTTATGCTACACTTTCTAACCTCAAAATTGCTTTTAAATACATAGATGGAGACATACTAAAGAAATTGTTCACGACTTTTATTAGACCAAAGCTGGAATATGCAGCGGTTGTGTGGTGCCCATATCTTAAGGAAGCTCATCAACAAACTGGAAAAGGTGCAACGACATGCCACTAAGTGGCTCCCAGAACTGAAGGACAAGAGCTACGAGGAGAGGTTAGAGGCATTAAATATGCAAAAACTAGAAGATAGAAGAAAATGAGGCGATATGATCACTACATTCAAAATAGTAACAGGAATCGATAAAATTGATAGGGAAGAATTCCTGAGACCCGGAACTTCATGAACAAGAGGTCATAGATTTAAACTAACGAAACAAAGCTGCCAGAGAAATATACGAAAATTCACTTTTTATAAACAGAGTGGTAGATGGTTGGAACAAGTTAAGTGAGAAGGTGGTGGAGGCCAAAATTGTCAGTAATTTCAAAGCATTATATGACAAAGAGTGCTGGGGAGACGGGACACCACGAGTGTAGCTCTCATCCTGTAACTACACTTAGGTAATAACACACCAGCCACTCACTGCCACTCCCTCCCTCAACAACACCTCACTCGCCCTCATTCTCCTTCCACAATACTGTTTTGCATTTATTCACTATACACAGAAGTTATATATAAGTATTTACATGTTTTGTTCACCATAACTGTACATCTAAGCTTGTATGGTGAGTAAAGGCACAAGGACGTAGCTACTCACACAGCTGGTGGCGGCTGTCCTCTAGGCCAAACGCACTAATATTTCTCCCCCAACAATACTGTCTGTGGTATTATTATGCTATATACACACATTATATATAAGTATCTACATGTTTTATTCACCATACCTGTACAAATAAGCTGGTATGGTGGCCAAAGACCATAGTGGCCACCAGTAAATAACATAAGTCATGCAGACTATGCACCTCCCTCACAAAATGGCGGCTCCCAACCTACTCCTATTGCTGTTATTGCACTCTATTCACACGTTATATATAAGTATCTACATTTGTGTTCACCATAGTGAGCCACTAAGCTGGTATGGTGAGTGCAGTCAATAAAAGGTGGCCCACACACAGTCAAAAGACAACGCCACCACCCTCCCTCCCACAGCATTACTCCTCCCTCCATGGAGCACAGCGCTAAATATCACCACAATCCTGCTATTATCAGAATCCTGGTCAGTTTTATCTCAGTCAGGGGTCTTCTGTAATACTATCATCGCTAAATAATAGCATGAACATATACATTATGGCATTTGTAGGCGATGCTGTGGTCACAAGCTGAACAGCGGTGCTGTGAGCTCAAAATGCTACAAAATACTTTTGGAGGATGTGGGTGGAGCTGGGTGAGGGGGGGGCCCTCAACTGGGGTTTAGATTTTGGCAGCTGCTGCGTTGTCTACCTTGCTGAAGCTGTTTGTGCCAATACTCAGGGAAGTGGTTTCTATGTTTTTTCACTTCTCGTCTAGCATGTCAGCAGGCCGTGCTTGCTCTGTCTTTGGATTCTGCTTGGGCCCTGGCTCTTCAGTAGTTTTCGCCATTTTGTTCTCTGCTGTTTCTGGACGATAGTGTTCCCCATTTCTGCTGGTGGCTTTTACCAGTTGCCATCCTATTTTGGACTGGTTGGTGCTCCGTGGGGTTTGTTCCCGACCCTCTCAGATGCGTCGTGCCAGGGCTCAGGTTTCGTTTGGTTGAGGTAGGCCTCTGGTACCAGTTTCTGCATTGGTGGGTTTCCCGGTGCCTTCTTTGTCTGGTCGGTGCGATGTTCTGTGAGTAGGTTGGCTTCTCGGGGTTTACGTCGGCCCTTTTGCGGGTCGCCTCGTCAACGGGGCGATACCACATGATGTCATGAAGATCCAGCTTGTTCCCAATCCAGGTGCTTGAATGATTTCACTGGACCACAAGGGTACTTTTTTTCACGTCCCTATTCATTTGGGGTTCAGAGCTTGGTTAGGTTTCATGGTGGGGCGGCAGGCTTACCACTTTCGTTGTCTTTCATTCGGCTTGAATCTGGCACCTCGAGTTTGCACGCGCTTGACGTGGGTCATCTGTGTCTGCTAGGTCTTCGGGTTTTGGCATACCAAATGACTGGTTGGTGTGGGCTTCCAGCTGGTCTGCTTGTCTGCTAGCCAGGGATCTGGTTCTTTCCTAGCTAGCCAGGTTCGAGTTCCTTGTGAACTGATGGAAGGCCCAGTTGGTTCTGTCCCAGGTTTGGACTTTTCTGGGCCTTGTGTGGGATTCTCAGACTGCATCACTCTCTCTCCCTCCAGCGGCCTTGCGCCTATTGCAGTCCTGCCTTTGGCGATTTATAAGGAGGACCTGAGTCACTTGGCGGTTGCTCGAGCAGCTGTGAGGGAGCCTGAACTTTGCTCTGCTGGTTTATCCGCTGGGCAGGGTTTGGCTTCGGAGGCAGTTCTGGTATCTTAGAAGTGGCCTCTTTCGACGCTCTCGTGATTGCAGGGTTCGTTCTCCAGTGTCTTTGTGCCTATTGTTGCGTCACTGGCTATCTCTTCAGGTTTTTTGGGGTTTGGTACAATGGCGCCTACCTCTTCCGTCGCTTGATGTGTTCACTGGCGCTTTGTCTCTAGGTCAGGGCTTTGTGACCAGGGCTCCCTGGAGCTTATCCAGGCTGATATTGCTATATTAGACTTTGGCATCAGTCATGTAAATGGAGTTCTTAGGCCTACCGGGGACCACGAGCCAGAACCTGTCCCCTCAGAGAGGCACAAGGTGCAATGGTCTATAGAAACCCCCCATGTGGTTAGAAGCATTCTATGTCTGCCATCGACCAGGTCAGACACTCAGAGAGGTAAGCACCCCCAAAAGAAACCCCTATTCTAGCTAAGAAATTGCTACTGAAAGCTGAACCAGTGGCCAGAACTCTCCAAACAAAAATGAGCAAACGAACATGATGTCACCACATTGCCGCGCCACCGTCTGCGCGGCTCCTCCCCCCCCTCTTTGGGAGGGGAAAGAGGGAGCCCCTGACCCCTTGTGCCGGCTACCCAAACCCCAGATCTGAGGCTGATGTGCTAGGCTGAAGTTGTGTACTCTGGCTCCTGATTTGTCTCCAGCTCTGTGCCCTGTGGTTGGGGGGGGGGTCGGTCTGTTCCTTGGGGGGTGGGGGTTGCCTGAGCCAGGAGTATTCTCTTCAGTACTCGGGCAGCATGCGCCTAGGGCTACCTTCCCTAGGTGCCCGGTAAGTAATGCCTTTGGGGCTTGGGGCCTCCTTCCAGAAGTTCCTTGGGTTCTGCCTCTACTTGATTGTTTGCTGCTCGGCATTTGGCCATCCTTTGTGTGTTGGGGTGTTTCTTGCACCCATGTTGGCCTTAGGATAAGAGGTGGTTTGCGCTGGTAGGGGCGCAGGGTACTGCGCAGCTAGTTGTCACCTCTCATAGCGGCCAAATCTGTTCCGCTTGAATTCATCATTCTCTTGCGGGGTTTTATTTTGTTTGTTTTCTCTGCCTGGTGGGGGGGAGGGGGGCTGTCTTTGTTTAGTTGCCCCCTGTATGTCTATATAGATTCTATGCTTCTGTTGGTATCCCCTGCTAGGCCCCCATGAGTGGACACGTTCAGGTGGTTCAGCTTCTAGAAAGTTTGTTGGTGGACTTGAAAGCCGGTTAGCAGTACCTTGCCTGGGCTTCCCTGAGTGTGAGTTCTGTCTCAGGACCCTAGGAATCCCCACTGGGGAGTGTGGGTCTGATGGATGTGACCCCTGAGTCCCCCCTCCCTTTGTGCAAGTTTGAGGGTTGCTCTTTCCCCTTGTCTCAGGGTGACTCTCATTGGTTTTGCCTCCGTCATGCTGCCTACTGGATTGGTGACACCTTCGACCCAGAGTCCTGCGAGTTTTGTTACTTGTTTGTGATGCAGTTTACCCAGTCCACTGATGACTATTCAGGTACAGGCAGCATAGGCATTGCACATTAGGTTTAGGGTGTTGCAACGCGCTAGGTTAATTGCTTCCTTGGAATCTGCGAGGCTGCCCTTTTTTGGTTATAGGGACCCGAACTTGGGGGTGTTGGTTACTTCAGTCGTAGTTAAGTCCGCACCCCCTCGTTCTGTCCCATCTGAACCCTCTAGGTTCTTTGCCCCTCCTTTCAAATGACTCCTCTGTCCCAGGTCTGACTTCTGTTGGAGCCAAGCACTTGGATGGTGCACCAAGCATTTCGAACCTGGCATCAAGCATTTTGAACCTGGCACCAAGCGTTTTCACACGCCTTACCCGGGTCATGGTTGCCTGTCTGATTCTCTTAGGTGTTTGGGTGCTGGCCAACTTAAACTACTGGCTGGTCTGGGCTCCCGACCATTCCATGTGTCTGCCCGTCATGGATTGGTTCAGACTGCTTCCTTGTCTATCCCTCTGGAGTCTCTGCATCGGCTGTGCTCCCGCCTTCGCTTGTTTTAGGGGCTCCCGGATCACTCGGAGGATGCTTGAGAGTTTGTGCGGGAGCCTGAATTTTGCCATGATGGTCTACCCACCGAATCGGGTTTGGCTTTATCCATTGTTCTTGTTCCTTCGGGGACATCCCTTCCGCCTCTCTCGTGACTGCTGGGTTTGGCCTCCGTGGGCCTTGCATCAGCTGCTGAGTCACCGGCTTACTCTTCAGGTTTCTCGGGATTCGGTGCCTTGGCGCCTGCCCGAGCCCTCGCTCGATGTGTTCACGGATGCGTTGTCTCTTGGCTTGGGCTTTGTGACCAGTGCTCATCAGGCCGGCCAGGAGCGGTGAGGTCTGTCCTTCCGTTGGGCCCATAGCACGGTGTGGGAGTTTGTGGCAGAATGCATGTCGCTTTGGTAGGTCTGCTCGTGGATCGACGATCAAGCTCCAATCGGACTGCTCCCGGTGATTCATTGCCTGAACCGAGGGGGGTTCTATGCAGTCCTTCGCTCTTTGGGGGCTGGTTGCTTCAGGTGACTTGTCTGCTAAGTTCTCGGGGTTTGGCTCTCCTGGCCTCTTGTTGGCATTGGCCTTTGGGGGTCAAGTTGGGGAGCTTCATACTCTTCTCCGGCGCAGGGATTTCTGCTCTTTTGGTCCTGATGATGGGTTTGTTCAGTTGCAGCCATCTCCTTCTTTTCTGGCGAAGAATGAGATGGCTGCTTTACGGAGGGGTCCTTGGGCTGTTGATGCTTGGTTGTTCAGGCTGGGGGTGCATCATGTGTTGTGTCTGGTTGCAGCTCTCCCCGTTATTTGCGCACCATTGCCTCCATGGTCGGGGAAGCGCTTTGGGTTGATCTGGTTTCCCTTCTTCTCTTTTCCAGGGTTCGGGTCTCCCACGTCGTCTGCAGGGTTATTCAGTCCAGCCAGCCTGTGGTCTATCCCCGTGCCCATGATGTTCGTAAGTTTGCTGCGCTTGCTGCCGTCTTTTGTGACATTCGGACACCGGGGTTTTGGCTATCGAACAGGGTCCTGGCTGCGCGTTACCTGGTGAATGTTCCTGGGCCTAGTTGGGCCTGTGTCGTTTTGGGTTGGCGATTGCAGAGAGTTGTCTTGACTTTGCATTGAGAAGCGAGCAACGACTGCCTCCCGGGTAAATCCCTCTTGTTTTCGTCTTTTGGTAGGTAGCTCCGGGGGAGCCATAGGTGCTCCTCCCAGAAAACCAGCGTTGAATGTAATGAAATGCCATCTTCTGGGTGAGACCCGGAGGCTCCCTGGCAACCCTCCCTACCTCCCTCCGGTCAGCGGTATTTTACGTGTTATTTCATATTCAGCCTCAGAACTGGGGTTTGAATAGCCGCGCAAGGGGTCTGAGGCTCCATCTTCCCCTTCCCGGGAAGGGGGCAGCTGCGCAGATGGTGGCGCAGTGACGAGGTGACGTCATGCTCGTTTGCTCGTTTTTGTTTTGGGAGTTCTGTTCACTAGTTTGGCTTTCAGTAGCAATTTCTTAACCAGAATAGGGGTTTATTTTGGGTTGCTTACCTTTCTGGGCACCTGATGCGGTCAATGGCAAACACAGAATGCTTCCAACCACATGGGGGATTTCTATAGGCCATTGCTCCTCATGCCTCTCTGAGGCATGAGGAGCAGAACCTGGCCCATGAGGGCCAGATTCTGGTTCATGGTCCCCAGTAGGCCTAAGAATTCCATTTACATGACTGATGCCAAAGTCTAATATAGCAATACAGTATCAGCCTAGATAAGGTCCAGGGAGGTTCCGGGTCTCACCCAGAAAATGGTGTTTCATTACATTCAATGCTGGTTTTTTATCACAGTCAGGAGTCTTCTGTAATACTATCATCGCTAAATAATAGCAGTTACATATACAGTATATTTTCACATTTTTAGGCGATGTTGTGGTCACAAGCTGAACAGCAGTGCTGTTACCTCATACTGCGTGCACAAGCCTTGGTTGCTCACTCAGTACTGAGGCCCTCACACCCGGCAATATTACCCACGATTGTGCATATTAGTGATTCAATTATTATGTTTATAGATGCTGTTCGCTCATGCTGCGTGCGCCGGCCTTGGTTGCTCCAAAAATGGCGTCTGTTTACTAGAGCCCTGAGGAAGCTGATATGAACTCCGTGTAGCCACGGGACATATAAATCGTGCGCAGCATCCTCAACTGTATATATATGATGTGCTCGGTTTGGTGACAATTACTCATTTTGTATATGTACAATGTGTGGGGTTTAAAGGTTAATGTTCCTGGCCATAGTCAGGCATGTATCGCTTTGAGTCACAGGTTGCGGTCAGTTCTCTCGACTTAGAGTTGAGATGCAAGTAGCGGCCTCACCCTGGGTAGGTCCCTCTTTACTTGTTCTGTGGTTAGGTAGCTCCGGGAAGCCAGAGAGGCTCTCTACAGAAAACCAGCATTGAATGTAATGAAACGCAATTTTCTGGGTGAGTCCCAGAGGCTCTCCCAGCAACCCTCCCTCCCTCTGATCAGCAGTTTTCGCGTTTTGATATTCAGCCTCTGAACTGAGTTTGGGTAGCCAGCCCAAGGGGTCTGGGGCTCCTGCCTTCCCTCTCCTGGAAAGGGCGGGGAGCTGTGCAGACAGCGGCGCAGCGGCAGTTGTGACATCATGCTTGTTTGCTTGTTTTCAGATTGTAGAGTTGTGCTTGATAGTTTGATTTTTGGTAGCAATTTTAACCAGGTGTTTTGGGATGCCTACCTTTCTGGGTACCTAACCCTGTAGATGCCAGATATAGAATGCTTCCAATCAAATGGGGGTTTCTATAAGCCATTGCTCCTCATGCCTCTCTGAGGGGGGCCAGGTTCTGGCTCGTGGTCTCCGGTAGGCTAGAACTCCAATCGAATTGACTAATGCCATGGTCTAATATATACATATCAGCCTGGTATAGCTCCGGGAAGCTTCCGGGACTCGCCCAGAAAATGGTGTTTCATAACATTCATTCAACGCTGGTTTTATAGGTTATTTTGACACACTATTTATGGCTCGAGGTATTTTGTGATAGGAGATAAGAGATTTTTTTCTCAGTCACATTAGAGTGTTTGAGGGTAAGTATTATATGTACCAGTAATTCTATTTCATTGTCGTCATTGGCCATCAATAATATGTTAACATAAGAATAACAATAATAATTATAATAACTTTGCCTTGGCTTTGAAAGTTAATAAAATTGTGTTGCAGGACCGGGGTACGAGTGGCTTCAGTGCAGCACTTCACATTACAGAATCATACTGTCAATTACAGAAGCATGGCATCAATATTTCAGTTAAAGAGTTCTTCAGCATGCCACCTGAAGGTACATATTCTGTAGTACTGTATATATACTGTATTTATGTATCCCTGTTGTAAATATGATTGTGTTCATTGTCATTTTTATTTTTTACTATTTATACTTACTGTAATATAATGGTAAAAATGTATTGTGTTTAATCAAATGTACCCATACTTGTGCAGGGAAAACCAGGACTCTAAACCTCCTAGACCATCCTGTTCCTAGAGTCCATATTTTGGGGATACTGTACATCTTAACATGATCAACATGGGTGTATTTCTTGACTATTCATGATATTTACTACACTCAATCCTCACTGTAAACAAACTTCATTAATCATGATCTGCACTACTCATAATCTTCACTACACATGATCATCACATGTGTAACTTGAAACTTTAACTTGACAAGTAACAAATATCTTTAACTTGAAAACAATTGACTGGGAGGCCTATGAAACAAGAACGGCAGACATTTGGACAGGCAGATTTGTTAACTTCATTCTGGATACATTCATGTATGAACACGTCAAGCAGGCCACAAGAATGAGGGAAGGGGACGTTCTGTCAATACTGGACCTAATATTTATCAGGAAAGAAGAAGATATTTTACATGCAGTATCTTCCTCCCTTGGGAATGAGTGATCATGTCCTGTTGGAAATTAAATATGCTTTGCAATATAATCTAGAAGATAATGGGGACATTGAAACAGTTGATAAACTAAATTTCAAGAGAGGACACTATGGGGAACTTAGAAAATTCTTTAATGAATGTAATTGGACAAAGTTGTTGCTTGGCAAGGGAGTAAATGAGATGTATACCAAGTTTTGTGAAATATATGATGAGGGCACACAAACATTCATACCAAAATAGAGATGCAGGACCAAAAAACAGGACTGGTTCAGCAGAAATTGTGAGAGAGCCAGAGAGGAAAAGACAAGAAAATGAGTTCAATATCGGAAGAGTCCCAACCCTCAAACATACCAGCACTACAAGCAAGCAAAAAACAATTTCACAGCAGTAAGGAGAGAGGGGCAGAAAGGAACTTTGAGAAAGGGATAGCGGACAAATGTAAAACTGATCCAGGCATTTTATATAAAATAATTTTTTGTTTTATTTATATATAAAAGACTTGTTACATTCTTGCACAGCCACTAACATACATAGCATTTCGGGCAAGTCCTTAATTATATGTTCCCTAGAATACGAGCCGCCAAATCGTTTAACAACCAGGTACCCATTTTACTGTTGGGTAAACAGAGGCTTCAGTTAAGGATTTGATGCCCAGTAAATCCTCTCTGGCCAGGATACAAACCCAGGACAAATCACTCGCAAAACACCAGGTGAGCATCTTACCACTACCCCACGGGGTCTGTGGTGGGGCAGGTCGTTTACAAAGATGTTGAAGAGAACCGGGCTTAAGCATGATCCTTTGGGGACTCCAGCTGTTGGGGTGAAGGCTGTGGCCTCTTTTGCCTTGAAACTGGGGGGTAACTTGCCTATTCTTAAGGAAATTTCTGATCAGCCTGAGGAGGGTCCAGTTTTGTGCTGGTAAGTCTGCTAATTTGTACACAAGACCATCATGCCACAGGCTGTCGAAGGCCTTGTGTACGTCCCTCGTCGCAATCAAAGCTACCTGTTTTTGCTTGCGAATTGAGCTTACGGCGTCGTAGATGATGTTTATTGCGTGGTGGGTTGATCTATGTGCTCGAAAGCTAAACTGCTTTTCTGTGAAGAGATTGTTGTACTCCATGTAGTAGTTAAGACGGTTTGACATGATTTTTTCAAAGCACTTGCCTATTGTGCCTAAGAGGGAGATTGGGCAGTAGTTGCCAGGTTGGTGGGGGTCTTTCTTGGGTTTGGGAATGAATATCATCTTGGCTGACTTGAATGCTACAGGAATGTGACCCGATGCCAGCATAGCGTTGAATAGGTTGAGTATGGATTGCAGAAGATTGCCTGGTAGAAGTTTGATCTGCAACGCTTTGATCCCTGATGGTCCTGGGGCCTTATCTCTGATGCTTTTGATAACTCCTCTCATCTCTAACATAGTTATGGGTCTTGTTAGAGGGTGGTCGTCTTCTAGGGTTGTCAGGTCTATCAGAGGGGTGCTGCGTAGGGAGGCGGCGTTTTCAGTTGTCCATTGGTTGACACGTTCAAAGTGAGCGTTGTTGAAGGCTCTGCTGTTTGAAGCCGTGAGTGTCTTTTTCCATACTGCGCCCATAAAGTCAGCCTGGTCTTGCGGGTTTTCTATTTTTTCTTGTTGCTCCTCGTCATCTTCGTCAAGGAATGTGTGTACGAGGTGGGTGAGGCTGGGATTAACCGATCCCAAGAGCTGTCTGATCTTGCGCCAGAAAGCTCCCGGCTCCCTTTTGTACTGGTTGGCCTGCCTCACAAGGGTTCCCCAAATGTAGTTCTTGTGAGTCAGCGTTAGGTCTATGGTTTCCCTTCTGAGTGTTTGTAGGGTCAACGCTGGTGGCTGGCCAGTTTGGTAGTGACTTTGGCAAGCTCGCCGGTACTCATTCATTTTGCCTCTGATTTCTCGGGTCGGTTTATATTGGTGGTAAGTCCTTGTGGTGGATCTTTCACAAGTGGCCTCAGTTGCGAGCTGGATGCGGCTGTGGATGGTGTCTACTGCTTGGTCGATCGTTTGGGTTGGGAGGTTTTCGAACTCAATGATGGGGTCGTCAGCAAGGAAGGTGTCATATTCCCAGGCACGTATGGTTTCCAGTCTGGGCCTGGGAGGTGCCACATACCTGAAGGGGGTTGCTTGGAGGGTTGTGACCACAGGGATGTGGTCCAACCCCACGTTCTTGCCTGGGGTTACTCTGCAGTGGAACAGGTCGCAATCCCTGTTGGTCAGCACTATGTCAGGGATGCCCCTCTGGTTGCCCGCAAAGAACGTCTTAAAGTGGGGGCCTTGGAAGGAGAGGTCCCGGTTTTGCATTAAATTGAATAGCTGCCTGCCCTTGAGGTCTGGCCTGGCAGGCGCGTTGAATAAGGCCTGATGGTGGGCATTCATGTCTCCTGCGATGATAGTAGGGAGGTTCCTATCGAGCAGCCTGTTCAGAGGGATGGAGGGGAGGTAGGCCAGTCTAGGTGGTAGATATGCGGTGCAGACGATGAGGGGGTCGTGTGACGTGGTAAGTTCAATTGCAAGAAAGTGGTCATCTTCTATGAAGATGGGGCGGTAAGAAAGCCCTCTTCTTATTACTATTGCCACCCCACTGTACATCCCCCTGTTGACTTCCCTGGTGGAATATCTCCAAATGGAGATGTGCTGGTCCTGTCTAACTGCTGTTTCATTGAGTAAGATAATATCTGGGTTAAGTCTGGCTACCTCCAGAGTGAGGAGGTATCTGTTGTTGAAGTAATGTCTGATGTTCACCTGAAGAATTGTGATCCCCATTATTGGCTATCCCCACAAAGGTATAGTATATCAGTGGATTAAAATACAATGGGGCCTCGACTTACGATGCTAATCCGTTCCCAGAGATGGATCGTAAGTCGAAATATCGTAAGTCGAAGTGATTTTTCCCATAAGAAATAAAGGGAATTGAATTAATCCATTCCCCACCCTCCAAAATATTAACATACAAATACATTTTATACTGAATACAATGTTTTTTCTAACTACAATATTTAACCAAAGTTTCTCTTACCTCTATGGAGGGCTCTTAATGGCGTATGGAAGATGGTGATGAGGGGGGAGGAGGAGAGTTGTTACTGTTTGGAAGGGGAGTTCCCTTCCATTATCACATCAGGCAGTGATGTTTGCTCTGGTGGTACTCCCTCTCCTACATTTTGCCTGAATACCACTAGGACCTGGTTGTGGTTCAGTGCTTGTTTGTCTCACTACAAATTTGTCAAGAGACATTTGTTTTTCCTTTTGTTTTAACATTTGTCTGTAATGATGCATCACAGTGTCATTGAATGGGTTAAGGCAACGACCTACTGCAGCTTGATTTGGGTGAGTCGTTTCAGCAAAGGTTTGCAATTCTTACCATACTGCACACATTTTCTTAATTGTTGAGGAAGAGACATGCTGTACTCTTGTTTCTGCTCTATGGTCATCCTTACATGGGTTTTCATATGTTGAGCCTTACCACTGACTTTCCTGGGACTCATGGCGTGATATATAATAATTACTTTAATGTTCAAAATGCAAAAAATTGCCACAAAAGCGGAATTTCTTATAGGCGCGATCGTCACTAGGCGAGCAGCTGTAGTAAACTGAGGCGGGTCGGCCGCGTGACTGGGAACCACGCGCTCGGTCAACCCGAACGTGTACCAACAAATATCGAAAGTCGACAACACCATTGGATGTTGAGTCGGATTTTTCGATGAAATTTACATCGTAACTCGAAATTATTGTAAATAGGGGCAATCGTATGTCTAGGTGCCTCTGTAGTACAGTACAGTCAGTTCAATGCCTTAACACTTTTGCGCTTTGGGCGAGCGAGCATTTCTTCTACCCTAGTGGTTCTGGACGTTCCGCGGGAGCTCGCGGGAGCGCACGGTAATACTGAAAAGTGTATACTCTTTTCAACTTTGTCACCTTAATTCTCATTTTCCAATTTGATATCACTATATTCACAATAGAATTATCTACAAGATTAAATGCATATGAAGTCCGAAAGGCTGGCTTACCACCCGCAGCAAACAGAGAAAGTGAGAGAAAGTTACCCGGGAGCGGGCAAGAGCGATAAAATGTGTACACTCTTTTTCACTTTGGTCACCTCAATTTTTGTCCTAGGTCTTTCATTTTGGTATCAATGTGTTTGCAATAATATTCCCAACAGGAGTATATGCAGATAATGTCAAAAACCATGGCTTACTCCACCTGCCAACGTGATTAAAGCAGGTGATGAGAGCAGGATGGAGCACCGGGCCATCCATTAGAGAGCGCGGTAATACTGAAAAGTGTATACTCTGCGGGCCCGGTCCTCGACCAGGCCTCCTTTTTGTTACCCCCAGGAAGCAGCCCGTAGCAGCTGTCTAACAACTGCCACAGGTACTTATTTACTGCTAGGTAACAAGGGCATCAGATGAAAGAAACATTTTGCCCATTTGTCTCTGCCTCCACTGGGGATCGAACTCGGAACCTCAGGACTACCCAGCTGTCAGGTGCCTATCTCACAATAGGATATTTTCCTATTGTGAGAACCTGACATATCTTATGGGTTGGTATGTTCATGTTCATGTTTAGTATATAGTGTAAGAACAGCAACAGGAGAATGTTGAGAGGAGCTATTTTGGTGAGGGAGGTGACGTAATCGTAGCGTCGTCTGCTGTGTGATTTTTCATGCAGTGTATGGTGGCCACTGTACTGTTTGGACACAATACCGGCTTACTTGCATAGTTCTGGTAAATAAAACATGTAGATAGGTATATAGAACATGTGTAATAAGAACTATAACTATATAGTGGGAGGAGCAATGTTGGCGAGTAAGATGCTGGAGTGAGGGAAACTGGCTGGGTGTGGCTGCTCTCACTCGAGGTGTTCTGAATGTGTTCATGGCCAAATGCTCCTATTGGCCCATACGAGGCAGCTCCTATTGGCCCATGCGAGGCAGCTCCTATTGGCCCATGCGAGGCAGCTCCTATTGGCCCATAAGAGGCAGCTCCTATTGGCCCATACGAGGCAGCTCCTATTGGCCCATACGAGGCAGCTCCTATTGGCCCATACGAGGCAGCTCCTATTGGCCCATACGAGGCAGCTCCTATTGGCCCATACGAGGCAGCTCCTATTGGTCCATACGAGGCAGCTCCTATTGGCCCATACGAGGCAGCTCCTATTGGCCCATACGAGGCAGCTCCTATTGGCCCATACGAGGCAGCTCCTATTGGCCCATACGAGGCAGCTCCTATTGGCCCATACGAGGCAGCTCCTATTGGCCCATACGAGGCAGCTCCTATTGGCCCATACGAGGCAGCTCCTATTGGCCCATATCAGGCAGCTCCTATTGGCCCATACGAGGCAGCTCCTATTGGCCCATATCAGGCAGCTCCTATTGGCCCACACGAGGCAGCTCCTATTGGCCCATACGAGGCAGCTCCTATTGGCCCATACGAGGCAGCTCCTATTGGCCCATACGAGGCAGCTCCTATTGGCCCATACGAGGCAGCTCCTATTGGCCCACACGAGGCAGCTCCTATTGGCCCATACGAGGCAGCTCATATTGGCCCATACTAGGCAGCTGCTATTAACCCCATACATTGTACTCACCTAATTGTGCTTGCGTGAGTTGAGCTTTGGCTCTTTGTGCCAAGCATCACATGCAATTTTTCCTATTTGATTTGTTAAGATACAGCTGTTATGAACATGACATTGTCACCAGCTTTGAAAGATGTTATTTGGGAAAACACGGCCTCATGAATATTGGGAAAAAGAACACACAATTTATATTCCTTTGTGCTCTTGTATGTCTTATAACACAGTTATGATGAGTACTTTTTGTTTTTTTTTACAGATCAAGATGCCCTTATCATTGTGAGTTTGACCCCTAAAGAAGATCCATTTTTAGCTTCTCAGAGCACTAAAAGAAAATTTGATGACGTGGGTGACACAACACCAGAAACAAAAAATATTTGGAATTATGAAGAAAATGATAAGGTAAATGTTGGCAACCAAATGCTGTGTTACTTTCTTAATGATAGTAGAATTTTGTTTTGCTTAGTATAGTTTCTTAGGAGTGTTCCTTTTGGTTGCTAGCATCCTGGATAGTTCCTCCCAATTCAAACCACACCTAGCCCTTGTGAGTCATTGTAAACCTATCGAGGACCAGAAGGCAAAACCTGGCTCCCACTCTAAAGAGGCACAGGGAGCCTAGGATACTAGATCAATAAGACCAATATAACATCATTATAAAGGTAGAGCAAGACAATATAGACAACAGCAAGGTAAACACTGCCAAGAGAACAAGACCAGGAAATGATTCACCCAGTCATGAGGCAGATTGTTGGGGGCATTGAGTGAGGGGTCTTCGGCTGGGGTTCTGGTTTTGGCTGCTCAGCGTCATCTGCCATGCTGAAGCTGTGTGCACTAATCCTTCGGAAGGCGGTTTTTCTATGTTTTCTATGTTTGCTCTGTCTTTAGATTCGGCTTTGGCCCTGGCTCTGCAGTCTTTTTCCTCTTCGGGTTTTTCGGGGTTTCGTGCCACACCTCTTCCCTTGCTCGATGTGTTCACGGACACCACGTCTCTCACTTGGGAATTTGTAACCAGTGCTCTCAGTTCAGCCAGGGACGTTGGGGGCTGTCCTTATGTCAGGCTCACAACACGGTGCAGGAGTTTGTGGATGTGCGATGGATTCGGATTCCTTAGGGCTCGGTGATCAGGTTACATTTGGACTGCTTTCCCGTGGTTCATCAACCGGGGAAGGGGGGTCTCTTCGGTTTGTGCTTTGGGTAGCTCTTCTGCTGAGTTCTCGAGGTTTAAGTCTCTGCCCTTTTCACACTCGTGGAGTGTTCAACGTTCAGGAAGACAGCCTGTCATGCTTTATTAATCTTTCCACAGAGTGGATGGTAGATTCCGCCTCTTTCCTTTCTTGGATGTGTGGGTATCCGGAGGTGGACCTCTTCACATCGGCATGGTCTCGGCATCTCCCATCGTCCATAGCACAGTTCCCCGACTGCAATGACTTCACAGTGGACTCTCTTTGGCAGGACTGGTCGCAGTGGGGGGTTCCTGTATCTCTTTCTTCCAGTCCAGCTGTTGTTCTGGGTTCTGGCTCAGATTGAATCCTATCAGGGAAGGGAGATTCTCCTGGCCCATGTTGACAGGCCCAGCCTTGGTTTCAGGCACTGCTTGCTTGGTGTCCAAACCCAGGTGTTTTTCTGAGGTTCCGCCTCTTTCAGCAGGTCGGACCGGTAAGGTACCTCGCTGGTTCGATAAGAGGGATGATAAGAGGGATGCGAATGTATTGCCATTTGTATAGTGATCGGGTGGCTTCTTTGATGGTGTCCCACCTGCGGTCTTCGTCACAGCGACAGTATCAAGTTTCTTGGCGGTCGTTCTATCATCTCCTTTCCCTTTGTCTGAGTCGGTTAAGGTTGTCTTGGCTTTTCCTGTACTGGCATTTTATGCCAAAAATGCCAGTCCATGGCATGGACTGGCATTAAAATGTAAAAAAAATGGCATTTTATTATCGTGCAGTGTTGGCGGAGTCGCTGCAGCTTGCATTTGGGGTGGATGTCACTTCTGCTTCGTTCTGCAAGCTCTCTCATTTGGTTTTCTGGGGGAAGCCCCTTCAGCTCCCAGGAGCTAACCAGGCTGATATGAATGTATTAGACCATGGCATCAATCAATGCACATGGAGTTCTAGGCCTACTGGGGACCACGAGCCAGAACCTGGCCCCCCTCAGAGAGGCATGAGGAGCAATGGTCTATAGAAACCCCTATGTGGTTGGAAGCATTCTATGTCTGCCATCAACATGGTCAGGCACCCAGAAAGGTAAGCACCCCAAAACAAACCCCTATTCTGGTTAACACTTTGGCGTGCCCCGCCCACCACCCCTCAACTGTGCGATTTGGGTCCCAGAGTTTCACAGGAGCGCGCGTTAATTCTGAAAAGTGTATACTCTCTTCAACTTTGTCACCTTAATTCTCGTCCTACGAGATTAAATTTGGTATCATTGTATTCGCAATAGAATTCTCTACAGCACTAAATGCATATAAACTCCAAAAGCCCGGCTAATTACCCGCATCAAACAGAGAAAGTGCGAATGAGTTAACCAGGAGCACAAAAGCGATAAAATGTGTTCACTCTTTTCACTCTGGTCACCTCAATTTTCGTCCTAGGTCTTTCATTTTGGTATCAATGGGTTCGCAATAGAATTCTCTAGAGGAACATTAGCATATAAAATAAAAAACCTGGTCATGCTCCACCCGCCGATGAGTTGAAGACGGGCCACACGTTAACCGCGAATGAGCGCCTAGATGCCTTCCAGCTACACTCCCAATTCCTGCCCACAAATGTTTAGTATTTAGTATTTTAGTATATGTAGTATTATAGTTTAGTATTTTTTGTGTAGTAGTTGTATGTCACATAAGCATTGTAGATAGCCATTTGCACAAAATAGATGGTCATTTTCTTCATCCATTTGTGAGTTTTCCTTATGAAGTGATAATATTTGATCATTTGGTCAAAGTGATCAGCACCTTTCATGTTTGTATTGTAGTCACAGATTGCATTCGGCTTGTTGACAGTTACCAAACAGTCCCAAAAAAATCGGATAAAAACCTGATTTTTGGCAATTATTTTAGTGGATGACGCAATACTGCATCATCCCCGAGATTACCGACAGTAAACGGATGATGCAATGCTGCGTCATGCCCGGACTAAAGTGTTAAAATATTGCTACTGAAGGCCGAACTTATAGACAGAACTCCCAAATGAAAACGAGCAAACGATCATGACTTCACCATGTCGCCACGCAGCTGTCTGTGCAACCCCCCTCCTCCCCAGGAGGGGAAAGGGGGAGTCCCAGATCCCCGTGCCAGCTAGCCACCCTGCAGTTTTGTGGCTGATGTGAACTTGCAAGGTCGTGCATCTCTGAATCCTGTCTTTCCAGTTCTTTGCCTTATGGTGTGGTGCTGGCTTATTGGTGGTACGCGAGCCAAGAGCTGTTTCACAAGTACTTGAGCAGCATGCGCTTAAGGTCTCCTTCCCTAGGTGCATTATAAGTACTGCCCTTGGGGCCACCTTCCCCAAGTCACCTTGGGGTGAGTTCTCCGCAAGGTCTTTGCTGCTCAGTGATTGACCGGCCTTGGAGTCAGCTGGGGTGTTCTTGCACTACTGTTTGCCTCTGGGTAGGGGGTAGTTTCATCACTGGTTGGGGCACCGGGTACTGTGCAGCTAGCTGTCACCTCTCATGGCGTCTGGCTCTGTTCCACCTGGGTACATTATCCTCTTGTGGGGTTTTTTCTTTTGTTTTTGTTTTCCTGCCTGGTAGGGGGAAACTGTCCCTTGGTTTTGGTCACACCCAATTATATCTTGGTGGTCTTCCATATGGCCCTTGTGAGTGTACACATCCTGGGAGGGTTCAGCTTATGCAGTTTGATTGGTAACTTTGGGTGCCGGTTAGCAGTACCCTGCCTGGTCTTTCCTTAGCAAGATTACGTGACTAAGGGCCCTGGGAAGCACCCCCTGGGTCTGATGGATGTGACCCCTGGGTCCCCTCTTGCTTCGTGTGGGTTTGAAGGTTGCTCTGACCCCTTGTCTCAGAGTGACATTCACCGGTAATTACCTAAGTGTAATTACCTAAGTGTAGTTACAGGATGAGAGCTACGCTCATGGTGTCCCGTCTCCCCAGCACTCTTTGTCATATAATGCTTTGAAATTACTGACGGTTTTGGCCTCCACTACCCTCTCAATTAACTTGTTTCAACCGTCTACCACTCTGTTTACAAAAGTGAATTTTCTTATATTTCTCCGGCAGCTTTGTTTCGTTAGTTTAACCCTTACACTGCTCAGGGGTCCTGGGAACATTTACACCCCTGTGCGCAAGAAAAAAAAAATTCAAAATTTTTTTCCGTCTTCTAAACATGTTAGTTTGTGTCCCCTGAGCATGGGAAAAATAAAAAAAAATCGTAGGTGACATATTTTGGGCGCAATTGACCGAGGAAGTCTGGCAAAAAGTGGGCGTTGACAGAGCGGTCGTCAGACCCGGTCAGCATCACCCGCGCTGACAGGTGGGAGTTGCCACAAAGATGATATTACCTAATTGTTTCAATGTTTAGGGAGCCGGTCGGCCGAGCGGACAGCACGCGGGACTTGTGATCCTGTGGTCCTGGGTTCGATCCCAGGTGCCAGCGAGAAACAATGGGCAGAGTTTCTTTCACCCTATGCCCCTGTTACCTAGCAGTAAAATAGGTACCTGGGTGTTAGTCAGCTGTCACGGGCTGCTTCCTGGGGGTGGAGGCCTGGTCGAGGACCGGGCTGCGGGGACACTAAAGCCCCGAAATCATCTCAAGATAACCTCTCAAGAAGATGTCTCCGATTGATTTTTTCTTAGTTTTTTTGCAGTAATATTATTCAATAGTGTGTATTGTAATATATTTATATAATAAAAGTGGTGAATAATTGCTATACTCAAAAGTATGATGTGCATATTAGTGATTCAATTATTATGTTTATAAAACAATAAACAAATAGTTTTGCTGCTATTACACTCTATACACAGGTTATATATAAGTATCTGCATGTTTTGGTCACCATAACGAACCACTAAGTTGGTATTGAGAGTCGAAAAGCAACGAAGAGTTACCGCCACACACCAGCCAGCCACTCGCTGCCACTCCCTCAACACACGCACTAAACTTTCTTCCCCAACAATACCATTTGGGGTGTTATTACACTATATACAGACGTTATATATAAGTATGTGTATATTTTGTTCACCACAACTGTACAACTAAGCTGATATAGTTAGTTCAGGCACTAAGAGTCGTCGCTATACACAGATGGCGGCTGGCGGCTCCCTCACTCATTCAAGGTCACACGCACTAAACTTTCTCCCCCAACAATACTGTTTGCAGTGTTATTACCCTATATACACATATTATATATAAGTATCTACATGTTTTATGCACCGTAACTGTACATCTAAGCTTG